TTAGAAGTGGATAGAATGTATAAAGGGTGCTAAATAGTTATAAAGTATATTAGATCTAAAAAGTTAAATTGAATTTCAATAAAGAGAAAGACATAGTCTTATTATTAATATTCAAAAAAAAGTAATATATAGTGTTAAATAATTTTTGTCTTTTAATTATATACTAAATACTTATTTTTTTTGATTATATTAGTTAAAATTTATAAAAATAGATAAAAAAATACAAATAACTTCAAATTAATATTCTAATCTATTTTATTAAAAAATACTATTTAATATAGTAAACATCTATAATCTATAAGTAAAGTATCTTTGCTTCAATAATGAGCTTTGTTATTTGTATTTATTAACAAAGCCAACTTTTTTTATCTTTGATACTATTAGATTAAAACATTACAATTTTTTATGTTTCATTTTATTTTACATAAATAAAAGATGTAATTTTGCTATAAATTCAAAGTTTGAAAAATAAACTTTGTTTAAGGCTAAAAATATCATTTGCTATCATCCCTTAAACAACAAACTTTCGCAGGCAAATTTGCCTACAAAAATTATCCCGTTAAAGTGATGTGCTATTTAGAATTTGTCAAATATTGTAATTTTAAATTGATTATCGGTTTTAACTCAACAGATGTAAATAGCACACCTGGTAACTCGGTTATTTCATCAATATAAAAAATAAAAAATAAAGGTGAGGTGCTATTACGTATAAATAGTTAGCTAAAAGTTCTTTGCATGTAGTCTGGTTAGTAATAATACTATTGATTATTTATTTAAGTTGTACTATCAAAAATAATTTTGATCAAAAATTTACAGGCAAACTTGCTTGCCAATCTGTTTAAAGAATATTTTAACAACAATATTCATTATGCAAAAAAAAAAAAAATTACTAGTAAAATAATCAATCAGAACATTTCCCGTTAAGGTTCGGATTAAAAACATAATAATTTCTTTAAAATATATTTTAAACATTTTATTATATAAGAATTGCAAATTCGAGTTGACTATATTCTACCTACGCTACCTTAATAATAAAGCCACATGTATACACATACGTGCTGTATTTACGTGTAATTGTTCTCACTTGATTTCATCAATTTTTATGTGAATTATCAGTCAAATAATTTAAGAGTAAATATTAATTTTATTTAGCAATTCCATATCCCCATTGTTTGTCTGGTGGTGGATCCTGAAGAGGTTCCCATCTATGTTTATGCACACGATCAGTTTGATTATCTCATAATTCATTATTTCTAGACCAGATATAAACGATACAATATCCACAAAATACTTACGGTTTCAACTCTTCCATCTTAGCAACCAGCTTAAGTTCATCTTCAGCCTGTAAAATAACTTCTTCAATTATACCTGCGTCAATTTTGTTTTCAATTTCTTTGATGTTTTCAGTTGATTCAACAATTGAAAGCCTATGCTTTGTTAATGATTCCGTTGCCTGACGGTACAAAGCATTTGAAGGTAGTTTTGTAAGTGCATTGAGGGTATTATTATAAGTTTCGATTAGATGATGTCGTGGATTTGGATGAACAGCTAGACCAAAAAGTCCAGTGGATGCCTAATAAATCAAAATGTGAAAATTGAGATTGTATGTCCGCATAATTACAATATACTAGGATATAATGGCAAACCTTTTGCGTAGCGTTCAACAAATATCGTGTAATATGCATCGAATGTGTAATAATAATTCCTATTAATCTACAACTTGGTAAATGCTAGAAGGTACAATTGATTTTCTCGATAAATTTTAACGTTAGCTTTTTATAGATTGATCACAAAGATCCTTCGGACAATCGTCGTGTACAATCATGGGACTAGTGACCAATGAAATTGTGAATTATAACTATCATCAATCCGAAATAGCCCGACGAAGCAAAAGTAGATATTGATTTGTAAATGAAGTATCAGCATAATTACCGCTATACTGCTTTAAGTTTGAGATTTCTCAATTGCTAACCTTAATAGCGATAGTTTCTAACACTCATACTTTGAAGTATAGAATTCTAACCCCAATTTTATTATTTTTGATAAGGATTTTGACCCGGGTATTATTATAGCCATTTTACTTGACGAAATTACCCGAAGTATGTTCCGGATTTTCCGACAAAGGCAAAAACACGAAGTATAAAAAATGGCTATCTAAATCGGTCTTGACACACTAAGTAAAAGTGTCGGAAATGGGATTTTTACTATATATCTATTAACCTCCTAGCCCATGTCTAGCCCTAACCCTAATATTAATTAAAAATCGGAAAAACTGTAAGGTGCCAGGCTTTAAACGTCCGGTGCATGTCACATGAAGTATTTTTCGACATAATTTCAATTAGGAACTATTGTACGAACGATCATACATTCCAAGAAAATCATTTTTTTTTTTGTACCTCTTCCCGATTTATCTGATACTGATAACGATGTAAATGCAAATCTTACTATTTACGTAAACCTGTATTTTTTTTATAAGGGAGGTTTCCAAGAAATTTAATTTTCAAGTCGTCACGAAAATTTTATACCTACATAATAATTTAATGATGTATCCGCAAAACGTTGGTATTCTAGCCGTAGAAATATATTTTCCCAAAAGGGTATGTAATTTTTCAACAAATAGATTTGATGTTGAAATGAATTCATTAAATTATTAATATTTTAATTTCACAGTTTATTGACCAAGCTGAACTCGAACAATTTGATGGTGTATCCACTGGTAGATATACCATCGGTTTGGGTCAGACAAGAATGGGATTCTGTGATGACCGTGAAGGTACGTAAAGAATTCAAGAATAATCAATTCTTCATCGGCAATGATTAATTTATATTTATGAATTTTAGATGTCAATTCCATTGCGCTAACTGGTGAGTATTGTTTAATAAAGACCATTATTGTCGTAATCATTAGAGTTCATAATATTTTGTATTTTAGCCGTGCAAAATCTCATCGAGAAGTACAATGTATCTTATAAGGATATCGGTCGTCTTGAAGTTGGTACTGAGACTATCAGTAAGTATTAATTTTCAATATTTTACTGATTCTTGACCGCGTAGTGTTGATTACCTGCTTTATTCACACAGTTGATAAGTCAAAGTCCGTAAAAAGTGTTTTAATGCAACTCTTTGCTGAATCTGGAAACACCAATGTCGAAGGAATTGACAATAAAAACGCTTGTTATGGAGGTAAACTTTATTGTTCTTGGTCTATTTATAAAGGATATTTATTTATGCTTAGTTTTTTAAATGCTTTAGGTACGAATGCTCTTTTCAATGCCCTGAACTGGGTGGAATCATCTTCATGGGATGGTCGTTATGCACTTGTTGTTGCTGCAGATATCGCAGTCTATGCTTCAGGGCCAGCACGCCCTACAGGTGGTGCTGGATGTGTTGCTTTACTTATTGGTAAAGATGCACCAATTGTTTTTGATCGCGGTAAGCTTTTTACTACATTAATATGTTTTTAAAATTTCTACAACCAAATAACACGCATTTATGAATTATAAGGTCTTCGTGCAACTCATATGATACACACTTGGGATTTCTGTAAGTTGATTAAATCCTTTTCTCGATAAAGTAAAGAGTTATTCTTAACAAAATCCTGTTATCTTGAAATTCAGACAAACCTGATTTATCTTCTGAATTCCCTGTGGTTGATGGACATCTTAGTAATGCTTGTTACCTGAAATCTTTGGATGTGTGTTACAATCGCTATTTCGAAAAACTAATTGCCAAAGTATTATATCATACATTTGCTTTATCTTTGGTTGGTTTGTCATAACTGATACATATGTAATGATAATAGGTGCAAATAGAAAGACCTACCATAAACTACTTTGATCATATGCTTTTTCACGCGCCTTACTGCAAACTTGTGCAGAAGTCTTATGCTAGGCTGTTCTATAATGACTTTGTTCACAATTCTGAAGACCCTTGTTTTAGTAATGTTCGACAATTCAAGGTAAAATTTGTTAGGTCTGAATAATTTCGATTATGATATTATTTGAATTAACCAACTTATTCATCAACCAGAATATGAATGCAGAAAAGTCTCTTCAGTCAAAAGAACTTGAAAAAGCATTCATAGAAGTTTCTAAACCTTCGTATACAAAGAAAGTTTTGCCCAATTTAATGGCTGCTACCCAAATAGGGAATATGTACTGCGCCTCTGTATTTGCATGTCTTGCAACTTTGCTGTCAAACGTTGCACCTGAAGAATTGGTGCGTTAATATCTATGCAGAAACCTAGATATCTTAATGTGCAGTAACTGCATAGTGATCATATAATCACTGTTAAATTTAATTACATACTGTGTGGTTATTGCGCATTAAAAGATCTAGGATTATGTTTTAATATACCGTAAAAGTCGATCCTGTGTATCCCCGTGACGTGTATACCTTACCAGTTTTAAGAGTTAGGTGGTCTAGCGCACCCAAGTATTATATACTGTGTACTATATTTATCATACCAAGAAATATAGTAAAACATGTCTACTCTGTACAGTATATCACCCTACACAAATGTCCTGGATATTGAAATGAATTTGAGATATACCTCGGGTACACAGATCCGGCTTTCACGGGTATTCATTCCAACGCTAATGAAATTATGAATATATATACTAGTTAGGAAAACGCGTCGGCATCTTTTCATACGGATCAGGTCTTGCGTCATCATTTTTCTCCTTTCAAATTGTGAAATCCGTCGATCAAATCCATAAAGTATTGGATATAAAAAACCGTCTTGATTCACGTGTAAAATCATCGCCAGAAAAGTTTAATGAAGTGATGCGATTGCGAGAGGAAACTCACAACAAAAATGATTTTGATGTTGTGGGTGATGGAAGTTCAGTCGAAGAAGCGTTCTTTGAGGGAACTTATTATTTGGAAAAAATCGATGCAAAGTGGAGGCGTTTCTATAAACGCAGAATTTAATTTATATCGATTTTTAGATTTTCAGTAGAATTTTTTTTTTTTTTAAGATAATGTATAATAGAGTTAAGAGATCATTATTGTATTTGTGTAATTTATTAGAAGAGAATACTTTTAACATTAGTTATGTAGTGAATAATTAATTGTCAGATGACACAAAGTATGTTTTTAAATCAGATTACATATTTGATATTAAGCATCTTCCTAAATCACATCTGCATCTGCAAAAATAATCTCTTAAAAGTAATAATTTTTAATCCTTACATTGAATAAATCGCTTGTGATCGATGATTTTGATTGATAATAATAATTTGATTATTAATGTGCATAATAGATTAAACTTCTCACACTATTTAAAATACTAAAGATAGCAATAAAGTATAAATAAAATACGCATTCATTGAAACCTTTTTAAAAACAACAAAAAATGTCATATTCATCTTTTCGCATTGCCCTCTTATCTCTTTATGTTCTACTTGTTTCTGTTGACAGTTCTTTGAATACAGTCAATGCACTTGTATCAGGACCACGTGTTCCTTTCCCTGTGGATAGCGTACAACCACATCGCCACCATTTAATGAATAAAAATATAATTCAAGCAGCACAAATACAACCAAACCATCATCATCATCATTATTTAACAAACGAAAAAACACGACATTATCCGGTACATAATCATCTATTATCTGATAAGTCGCCAATTCAAGCAATACCGCAGCCACATCGTCATATAATACGTGAACCTTATCCACATCACACATCATCACGATCTGAACCTATTTTTCCATGGTCACGAACATATGCTCAATGTGAAGCGCTACAATTAAACGGTCCCTTATCACCAATTTCATGTGAAAAACTATTGAAAAATCAACATAGATTATCTCCGCTTCGTTCGATGCTCCTTACATCGGCATGTGCAAGAATTCTGGGTGCAAGCGATATTTCTACATTTAATGAACTGATTAGGGCATTAGCACTTCAAATTTCAACGCTAAATTCTGAAAATCAGGAGCCACAGTCCACTACTATTGAGGTTACTATAACTACAACTTCCGATACAGATCAAAAAGTTGATGATGCTCTATCGAACGAATTGTTATTGTCTGAAGCACATAATAAGCCAGAAACCGGATCGGACGGTGATATTCAGAATGATGATGCTGAAAGTTCACGGGCTTTGATCCCTTTATTACCAGAAATCAAACATGACGCACCTATTGTACCAGAACTCCAAAAAATACAAGGACCAAACCGCAAATCTACACCTTACCGAATAAACCCAAATTATTATATCGAACCTTTACCCGAATCGGCTTTAAATGCTTTCGATACTTCAATATGGCCAAGTATTCAAGAACAACAACAGTATCCTTCGTTTATAACTTTTCTTCAACAACCTATATCAAGTACGCTTTTTGGATCTTTAATCACCGTGTTTGGCATTTTATTGATGCTTAGTGTTGTATTTCAATTATTCGTAAATTTCGTTAAAAAAAAGGTTAGTAAGTTTTTACAGAAGAATCTGTAAATTATTGTATGTCTATATGTATCAGAAAATAATTTTTTAAAATATAAGGTCAAAAAATTTTATCATCCACAGCTGGCTACTTAGAGCTAATAGGATCATCTACAATTGGCTACTTAGAGCTAACAGGATTTATATTGATATAGGTTGCTATATTGGACTTATCCTATATTTAATTTAAAAAAGCATATTGTTATATATGATTATTTCTAGTCTTAAATAAAAAAGTAACAGGCATGACGCAGTTCAAAATTTTCAGAATTACGTATCAAACCCACAAAAAAAAAAATTACCTAGATACATCAATGAAAAAAAAGTAGGATATAGCCCAAAAATTCAAATAATCATATTTAGGCAGCATGATGGAAAGTCGTTTTGATTGGCTAGATGTGGTACAACTGTAACGTCGTTCGTTACATAATTACAGTATTTATATTAGTTTTAAAGTACCCCTATATGAAAGCGTAATCACTCATATGACAAGTCGCTAAGCATGACACCTATGGTTGAATAATTTTCAGAATACATTTGTCTTTCGCTTTCTAGCAGCTGGTAGATTTAATCAGATATAATCAGATTCCTGGTGAACTTTTACTAGTGCTATATTTCTTAATAAACGTAAAAGTATGTAGCTAATAGTTATTAGATTCGTAGCTTTTTTTGTTTTTTTTCAAAGTAGTTACTCAAGCGCTAATATTTTATTGAAACCTGTATTTGAGATGACATATGCACTTTTGAAACCAAATTGAAGAGATCTGAAATAAAAAACTTGTATAATATGAGAGAAAAGAGATATTCTTTAGAATAGATAGGCAATATAAGAAATTAGATTTGCTAATGATTAGTAATCATTAATTTTTTAATAGCAGAGTTGTGAAGTTTGCAAAGTTTGCCCACCTATTCTATAGAACATCCAGGAAAAGTATTATATGGCAATTGAAATTTATTGAAAGTAATAATTCTTATAGTTAAACTTGGATTCTGTTATATGTATATAGCAGTTACAAAGAATTTATTTTTTTTTACTGATAGTTTTTTTAGCCCTATAATTAATTAGTTAAACTTTTATATATAATAGAGAATTGGACTTATAAGCAAAATTGTGAGTGAACTAAATTAAATAAATAAAAATATAAGTAAAATTTACTAATTTTAGAGCTTTATATTTGTTATATATTTATTTATATTTATTTTTTGATTAATATTTGAATAAAATTTGTTCATTTTGCTTGCAAGTAGCAATATGTTTCTAAATACAGTAAAGAGTTCTTTATATAATAAAATGTAGATTTTTAATTGATATAGGCTGTTCTTAAGCATCTACCTTAATAAGTTAACTAAGTGATTAGATTAATTGAAAAACTTGATTGTGATCATTATTTCAGTCAAAAAAATCTGAAGCTATCATTACTAATTTTTTTCATAGAGCTGCATTAATTGGTTAAAATTTATCTTTGATAGAGTAATTAAAGAGATTGCTTAAGCTTAAATATCACTATTATTATTTTTATAATATAGATTCTTATTATCATTATCAAAAAATTATTATCCTAGTTTCCATGCTAAATCTCTTATAACAAATAAAAATGTTAAGTGTTAATATTTAAAAAATAAAAAACTATTTTTTTATATATTGTATATATATTTTATTAAAATAATATTTATATTTTACTATATTTTGATATTGTTTTATTTAATATTAACAAATTTAAATAAAGTTTTATTGCTAATATAGTTGTTGCTATAATGACTTATAGCCAAATTTTTGCTGTTGTTGTAATTATAAGTTATTTTAAAATTGTTAAGCAGACAGTTAAAGGCAAGTTTCAAATATCAAAGTTTTATACTAAATTTTTAGATAACTAAGTAATCATCTTGGAGTTATAATAAAAATTAAAAAAAAAAAATAGCTTAAGCACTAATTGCAATTATTCATATATTAACTATCAAGTAAAATTTTAATTAAAATATATATTCTTTATAACTGCCAGCTCTTTCTGATGTTCCTCTAGTCAATAGTATTGGCATATGATCAGGTTATAACAGGTTATATTATTAAGTTTAATTAGTAAAATTATATAATCTTGTCATATAACTTCACTAATTGAACTTAATATATAATTTGTTATAACCTAATCATATGTCTATACTGCTGGTTAACAATAACAGAAAAACTGAACTACAGAAAAATGATATAAAAACATCCAAGATGAATATTTCTTAGTCTTATCTTAAAGTAAATAGTTGTCAATCAAGTCTGAAAATGTGAAACACCAAGAAGTAAATATATTTTAGATGGTTTTTCTTGAAGTCAAGCCTTTTCTGCTATTTAGTAGACTCTCTAAATTATTTGGCATCCAAACCAGAAGAGTATTCTAGAAACTGGTCTTATCTTTGTATTAGTTATTATTAATGAAGTTTAAGAGATATAATATATCAAGAAACAGATATAACTTGGATAGTTTTTCTTGAATCAAGTTTTTTTTTCTATTAATGAACTTATTAAATTATTTAGTATCTAAACCAGAAGGATATTTTAAAAACAAGTAATAGTTAAAAGACTCTCACTGAAATAGTTGAAGCTTGAAAAATTGCTTATACAACTGTAAAACTTATAAAAAAATCTTATATATTCTTATGACTCTACTTTTTTCAGAGAAAATTTCATAAAAAGTAGGCTATTTAATTTACTCCTCCAAAAGATTGATATATTGTTTACTTATCAAATTGGTCAGCATTGTTTACATTTTTATCTGTTACAACAAAAATATAAATACATATAGAATATGAATATATAGGGAGTAGCCAACAAAAACATAGCTTATAGTATTTTTTGCAAAAATGAGTTAATTATACTATTGCATAAAGCAAATATTTTTCTATAATACTGGATAGCAAGAAACATCTAATTTTTTTATAAGTGCCAAATTTTGCAATTTATACCTAAATCTAATTGGTTATTTTTTATATAACAAGATTTTGATTGGTTAAAAATCTATAAAAATAATTTTTTTATATATTAAACGCCAAATTTTTGATTATATAGTAACTTTAGGTTCTAATAACTTTTTAAATTTATAATAAAAATAAAATCTATTTTAACAGAATTGTAGCTTAAACTAAAAGCAACAAATTTATAAGACAGATTTTTTTTAAATTCATTTTTTGTAAATTATAAGCATTTTTATATTTATATATAAAAAGTAGATACTTCTTGCTATCTAGTACTGTATATAATTTAACATTTAAAGTATCAATTTGCATAATAAATTTTTGTTAATATTTATATTTTTTAAATGCTATATACAATTAGATGTAAGGGATATACCATTTATTATATAATTTTTATTATGGATACATGGTCTAGCTGAGTACTAGTCGAATGATCACATTACACATATATATAATATATAATATATAATCAAATATACAAAATAGATAATATATAAATTATATATATTATAATAAATTTTTAATATTAAATAACTTTTGATTTACTGGTCCGATTTAGATGATTTAACTGTCAAAATGGTTGTCTTGGTGAGATAATTCTAATGAATTCAAAATCGTTAAAATCTAATTACAGAATTCTGAGATCATTAAGGTTTTGTACTATGTAAAACTAATTTTATTAAATATGAACTTATACAAATAATCTTAACGATCACAGGATTCTGTGATTAGATTTTAACAATTTTAGATTTATTAGAATCATCTCATCAAGATGAATATTTTGACAGTTAAATTATCCAAAACGGACTGGTAGATCAAAAGTTATTTAATTTTAAAAAAATTAAAAAAATTTTAATAATTAATTAAACAGATCAATCAGAATCAAGCTAGAGGTGATCACACCATACATAGATAGAGGTGGCTACTAAGTAGAAAATATTATGTAATAAATGGCACACCCCTAATCTAAAATTAGTTTTATAAATTCGGTTGTCAATCTTTATTGCAGAGTTATAGAAATTTATTTGTATAATTGGCTAATTTATATCGATTAGAGTTCTTCAAATATTTGATTTGATATTTGATGCAATTTGATGTAATTTGAGTTACACCACATAAAATATAAATTATTCAATTAAATACTCTAAAACAATGATAGTACCTATAAGTACTATCATTATTTTAGAGTATTTAATTAAATAATTTATATTTTATATAGTATAACTCAAATTACGTCAAATTGCATCAAATATCAAATCAAATATTTGAGAAACCCTAATGTCAATCAAACAGATTTAACTAATAATAGATCAGCATTGTTATTGTTATACCAAATTTTAAATATAGTTTTCTCAAAAATTAAAAAAAAGCTATAAGCTGTGTTTTTGTTGATTGCATTTCATATAAATTATATGTTCTGAATGTAGCAAACTGAACAAACAATGTCTTGAGATCATCAGTACAAACTTCTAACCTTTCTGACCTCTCTATAGTGTCAACATTGAAGAAGCTATTTTTTTTACTCTATTAAAATTTTTTTCTTATCTTAAATATACTATATATATAAATTAGAGTAAAGACTAGTTAAATAGTAGTATATAATTTTTATAGAGTCTGATACAGGCTCATAATTATAACTATCCAGTGTGGATGAAAAATTCTGTATTTAGTTTCGTTGTTTTTGTATCTCCCTTATTCTTTTCTTATCTTGTTTATATATTTTAATATTTTTTTCTATACTCTTATATTTTTTTAAAAAATTTTTTCTTTTTTTTCCACTTCTCTACAAGAAGATATTATTAGTTAGTGATATTCTATTAAGGTGGTAGTTAGATGAGCCTCTGGTTAGAATATTATTTTAATTAATTATATCTCACTAGTGCGACAATATTATCTATAGATATTCTAGTAGTTTTTGATTAGTTATAAAGTAGTTGTAAAATGTCAGAACCTTAGATTTAATATTATGAATTATAGTTTAAATTATAATTTTGTAGTCTTTTACAAAACTAGGATTTATTAAACATAGTTTTTAGCATGATTTGTCTAAGTAGAAAAAAATTTTTTATAACTGCTATATATTATATATATAACAGAATCCAAGTTTAACTATAAAATTATTATTCTCGCCAAATTTTTTTTCTTCAATAATCCTGTTTATTTTATTTTAGAAATAAACAAAATCTTTATATCAACAAATGTATTAATTATAGTTTATAGTATTCTAACCAAAAAAAACTCATATAGTTTTATTTTGCAGATGCTATAACACTATTTGTAATTAGAGCGAACCATTAAACTGTTGTATTATACTTAAATGTGATCTGCCTAAACAATGATTAGCCTCCTCCAAAGATTTGGAATTTATTATAAACTTATTTTACTAAGATTCCTTGGCTGACTGTTGCTTACTTTATTAAGATTCCTGCTTTATAATAGAATATCACCAAACTGATAATACTTTTTTGTAAAAAAGAAAAAAAAAAGAGACAAAAAAAAAAAGAATATAATAAAAACAAATAAATTAAAGAAAACAGATACTAATACTAAGGAATAAAAACTTATACTAAAATCTAAAAAAACTATTACTAAAAAGAAAAAAATCTGTTAATCAGGCAAAAACTTTTAATTATACAGTATAATAATCTACTATTAAATATAAGAGTCTTAACAAAAATCTAAACTATAATAAATTGCACTATAACTTATACTAGAGGCTAAAAATTATATACAAAAGACAAAGTTATATTGTAATAGAATTTCTTTTTCTTATTTTTCTTGATTATTATTATTATATTTTATTCATATATTTTAGTTAGTTATTATTTCTTAATTTTTTTTTTTTTTTCCAATTATCGGCAGCCTCGCCGGTATCTTTATTAGATCAAAGCATATATATACATATATTTAACT